GCAACCCTCTGCGGAGATCGTGCGTGTCGAGCGCGCGAAATGCAGGCGAGAGTGCGATTGCGGAGATCGTGCGTGTCGAGCGCGCGAAATGCACGATGGGCGCGGTCCGCGCGCAACCCTCTGCGGAGATCGTGCGTGTCGAGTGCGTGAAACGAAAAATGCTTTCGGGCCACTCGTCGTCTAGTTTAAATCTTTTGCTCGTCTTGCCTTCTTCTTGTCGTTGACGCCTGGATGGTGAACCCCACGCCCGCCTGTTGTGTTGCTGTCCTCTTCTTCTCCTTCTTTCAGCTTGGTGGTCCTGTTTTTGTTCTTTGTGTTTTCCTTTTCTGATCCTCTTCTTCTCCTCTTGTTGTCCTCTTCTTGTCCACCTGTTGTCGCCTTGAAACATGACAACGTCCGAGCGTGCGCTACTATAAGCAGTGAGGCACTAGCAAGTCAACTCCAGAAAGCAGCGTGTACGCATGTACTCTCCTTGTTCTTCTTGCAGGGTTCTCTTGTAGGAAAGGAGAGACTGGCCACAGTGTCAGGCCGGCGAGCCCTGTCCGGATGCCCTCCTTTTCCTCTTGCCGCGATCTTTTCGGTCCTGTCTTCCTCATGTTCTTCTATTGCCTTCTTGTTGTCCTTCTTCGGGTGTTCATTGGCCGCGGCTGCCGGTCGTCCTTTCTTCCTCTTCTCCTTTTGTTATTCATTCATTCCAGGTGGGCAGGGTCGGTGACGAGGAATTATTTGGGAAGCTTCAAGTCAACGTCTCCCCTGTTGTTTGAATGCTCAAGCCAAACTGGGGAGACTCCCCTGAGGAGCAGAGTCACTGCTGATCCCTCAGGTTAAATTTTCTTCAGTTTTCGTTGCTGCCATGGCCAGTGATGATGCCCAGACGCGGTCAAGCAGGCGAAGCTCGAGCGCTGGTGCGCGGCTCATCACAGTGAGGCAGCCTCCGACTTGGCCTTCTACTTCTTGACGTGCGAAGAGGCCCTGTTCGAAGGGCGTGCCATTGCCGATGGTTGGGAGCGCGCCCGTCGTGAGGTCGAGATCGGCGCTGGAGCTTTGGTTCGCGATTTGTTCAGCCGCGAGCGGTTTCGCGTGCGGCTCCTCGCCCCCTACTACCTCACCGACTTTGACATCTCGGCCGGCTCCTTCGTTTGCAGGGCCTGTCCGGCCTAGCGCCTGGGGCCACCAGTCGGGTGGCTCTGAAGGGGGCGCCCTCTCCTTTCTGCCGCAGCTCATGGCGATCCTCCTTGCGATTGAGCCGCCCCCTGCTGACCGCTTCGTGGAGTTCACCGCCAACTTTGAGGCGCGCCCTCAAGGGGATCCTGCAGGCTGAGGCGGCTACAGTCAAGCGAGCCCTGCATACCCCAGCTAATGCTCACCTCGTCGGGGGTCTCCAAGCCTGACAAGCATGTGCTGCCTACGTCCATTCGCCAACATGCAGCACCTACTCGGGCCTTCACTTCACTGGGTTGGCTGGTTCGCAACTTGCGCCTCCCTTTTGACGTGACCGAGGTCGCGAAGCCGCGCTCTGGGCCCGGTGCCCGCCTGGGCCAGGGACAGGCTCAGGCTGCTACGCTCGATGGTGCTGCACCTTTTGGGCACGCTGGAAATGGCTATTGCAAACCCACATTGGCCCTTGATCTTCTGCGCGTATGCAATGTGCTTCGGAGTCGTCCGCTACACGCACCTTCAACGCAGTTATCTTGTGGGAGGCAATGGCGGCAATCCTCGTCTTTTGGTGCGCCAAGGGCAAAACCGGAAGCCGAGGTGGCTTTGCATGGAGTGTGCCTCGCTACTGCGGCACCCTGGGTAACCGCCTCAACAAGGTATACGACCTCACTCAGGGCCCGCCTTCCGCCGGTGGCATTGGCTTGGTTTGGATTCTGCGACAGCTCAACCCGTTGACACTGCCCATTTTATCCGCGTTTTGCGCCCTTACTTCAGCGCCGCGATGGACACTGCCAGGTTGTGATCATATTCATTTCGGCGGGTCTTGCCTACGCTCGCCGGCTATGTGGGCCTGTCGGAGACGGAAAAGTTACGCTAGCCTTAGGTCAGTGGACCGACCAGTCGTCGCGGACCACTACCACTGCACCACTACGGTGTGATTCCCCAAAGCAGCGGCTGGGTTATCAACTTCGTTTGGCAGGCTGCACTTCTTTCAGGACCCCCACATGGCACTTTGGGATGAGCTCCCAGCTTGCGTTGGGACACTTGTATGGGCGATGCTGATGAGCTTTTGGCTGCTGATCCACAGATCCGCCTCATCAATTAGGAGACCATCCCTGGCATGCCCGTGGTCAAGTCCCTACTTCCTGCCCAAGTCCAAGTCATTCAGGCCACTGGTCGCCGCATCACTGCAGCGCTGCGATGGAAGCGCCCGGCACCTTCCAAGGCCGCCCGCCCGGCTGTTGGTCCCACGCAGGTGCCGAGGGCTACAGTTTCGACTTTCAATCTCGTTCACCAAGACTTCACGGCCAGTGAAGCGGGCCAGGGTGGCGCCTCCGCCCAAGTCTACTGCAGCCAGCAGTGCCCAGCCGGTGACTCCGCGGAAGGCACCTCCGGCAAGGTGCCGCCAGTGCTGCCATTGGCTTCTCCTCGGACAGCCTCATCGGCCGCTCCCCCATCTTCTTCGAGACCTACCTCTCCGGCAAGTTCGTGAATGTCAGGTTTGCCAACTCAGTGTTCCCGTGGGTCACAAAGGAGCTCTACGTGATCGTCAGTTGAAGCAAGCGTTGCCGATCTTCCTGGCCACGCTCAACTCCGGCTTCACAGTCCTTATTCACTGCGTGGCCGGGATCCACCGGGCCCCAATCCTGGCGGGGTTGCTGCTAGCCTGGATTCGACGAGGCCTACGATCGTTTGGAGAGACTTCGTGCGATCGACCGGGCAGGGGTCCTCAACCGGAAGGGCGGCGATGACATCATGCTGCGGGCGCGCGACCAAATAAGTGTCCTTGCCACCGCCCCCTTTGCCTCGTTACCCGGTGTCCTTCATCACATCTACCAAGGCCGGCGCCCAGTGGCACATCGAACGAGGCATGCTCGTGAATTTTGTGTCACCTGCAAGTCCGTGTTGC